TTTATATGTGGTTCAGAGTTCTGGGACCATCCCCTGAGCCTGCTTGGTCGGGTATTCTGTGTTGTTGTTGGCGGAGCTCTCTGCTATACATTCACCCAATCCGCCATCTTGTTTGTTCTCAATCCTGTCTTCTTTTATTACTGATTAGTTTTTATAGTTAAGTGCTGTCAAGTCAGTTCTGACTCAAAGCAACCCTCTATAGGGTTTCTGAGAGTGTAAATCATTACCAGAGCTGAGAACTTCCATCTTTTACCCAGGGAGCAATTAGTGAGCTTGAACTGCCAACCTTTTGGTTACCAGTCCAGGACTTAATTCTACAGAGCCACAGGGCTCCTTCTGTTTATATGAGGAGCCTTCAAAAAGTTTGTGGAAATGAAATGAACAGATAATGGAATTTTTCGTGAATTATTTGAAGCCCTCATAGTGTTGCCTAATTTTCTACCTATTCATTTATTTATCCTGGAAAAAGAATTCCTACTTTGGTTTGTGATCTTGTTAATATGGAATGATTAAAAAAAAAAAAAACTTTTTGATGTCTTTATTCAGGTGGACAGCAAACATAGGAAGAAATGCTCACGATTTGGTGAAGTGTCTGTTTATGTCTTCTGCCATTTTTACATTGGATTTTTTGTTTTCTTGTTGAGGCATTAAAGTGTTCTATAAATTCTAGAGAGTAGTCTTTTGTCTGATAAGTCATTGCCACACATTTTTCCCAGTCTGTGGGTTCTCTTTTTATTATATTTGTGAAATACTTTGATACATAATGTGGAATAAATTTTATTGTTGAAATATATGCTTCTGCATATTAAAGTTATGTAATGGAAGGCTGACCGTACATGTGACCACTAATGTTGACTGTGTGCCTGTTTGAGCACAATTTCTTTAAAAGCTAACAGTCACTCTGTATTGTTGTTGTTAAGTGCTCTTTGTCTCTGTTCAGTCACCCTATGTAGGATTTCTGAGGAGCAGCTGGTGGGTGTGAACTTGCTAATCTTTCAGTACCATTCAAGGCCAGTTTGTGTAGTGCATGCTTTTTGAAGTGAATGTTATTTTTTCCCTTCTGTTTTTGAATTAGGTTTTTTGACAGTGATGAGCATAGGAAATTATTAACTCAATGGTATTGCTGCCCCTTTCTTAGTTAGTAGCCCTGTTGGCACAGTGTTTAAAGCACTCCACTACAAACTGAAAGTTTGGCGTTCTGAACCCACCAGCTGCTCCTAGATGGAAAGATGTGGCAATGGGCTTCTGTATTTACAGCCCTGGAAACACAATAGGGCTTCCTGGAGTATTGTTATGAGTTAGAATCACTTTGATGGGGGGTTGCTTTAGGGTTCATCGTAGAGTTATTGCCTTTTTTTGTTTCAGTAATCTTGGATTTCTATTAAAGTTGGTGAATGTGAAGATAAATTCTAGAAATATTTTGAAAGCAAGTAATGGATACATGGAAGTTTTACTATATAAACTTATTGTTAATTAGAATCAATTTTTCTAACTTCTAGGATGGGACTAAATTAGAATTTAAGGAACAGCTTATGTGTTGATATTTGAGTAAGTCTGTGTTCTTAAAATTGATTGGCTGTGCTATTTCATTGTAAAGAGTGTTTACACATAATAAATTGCACAAATAAGCTTGCTGACATGTAATTTTTGATTCTGGTAATCACCACATAGGATTATGCTCACTGAAGTGAATTTATTGAGCTTTTTATTAATATTATTATTTTTATTAATATATAAAATTTGCTGTTTTGGATTGAGTTTATCACTTGTCTAATTCCTAGTCCTAAGAAATATGTGTTAAATAGACATTGTAGGCCTCATTGACCACATCAAAGACAGGGCATTTCTTCAGTTGTTTCAGATATTCTAATTATTATTATTATTTTCAACTTTTAAAAAAATTGAGTGATGGTTTACAGAGCATATCGTAGTTTTACAATCAACAAATCGTACACTTTGCTTCATTACATGGTTGCAATCCCCTCCGTGTACCAACAATTAGCAGTATTTACCTCTATTCACTTTGACTATTACAGCCCTCCCTGTGTCTCCTGCTACCTTCTTCTTCCTCTAACTTCCCTCTTGTATATTGCCTGCCCTGTCACCTGTGTTAACATGTGTCTACCCTCTTATTATTGTTAAGTGCTGTCGAGTCTGTTCCTACCCATAGCGATCCTGTATAGGGTTTACAAGGAGTAACTGGTGAACTTGAACTACCGACCTTGTGATTCAAGCTGACTTTACAGCCCAGCGCATTAATACACAGTGCCACACCAGAAGTCTGTCTATCGTGAATAAACCCTGCCCAGAAAAATATCAAAGTTTGTTTCTTTTATCAAGAAAACTTTTTTTTTTTTTAACTTTTTATAACATTGGTCTCATATAATACTTGTCCTTTTGTGGTTGACTAATTTCATTCAGCATATTGTCTTCCAGGTTCCTCCATGTTGTAAAGTATTTCACAGATTCATCATTATTCTTCAGTGTTTTGTAGTATTCCATTGTGTGTATGTACCAAAGTTTGTTTAACCATTTTTCTGTTGATTGTTATTTAAGCTGTCTCTATATTTTTTGATCTGTCTTTTGTAGACAGTGTATTGAAGTATCCCATTTTCAGTCTTGTAGGTTTGTTTTGTTTAAATACTTTTATATCTGGATTGAATTCTGGGTGGTGGTGGTATGTGTGGTAATCTCAGCGTGTTGTCTGCTGTTGTTGGTTCTCTGTCCAAAGAACACCCATTAGTGTTTTTTGTAAAGTTGATATGATCAATATAAATTCCTTTAGTTTTTGTTTATCAGGAAATGTCTTGATTTCACTGACATATTTGAGGGACAACTTTGGTTGGCAATCTTTTTTTTTTTTTAATGAGTTTTGTATTTGTTATCCCATATATCTTTTTGCCTGCATGGTTTCTGTTGAGAAACCAGAGCTTAGTGTTACTGGCTCTCCTTTGTAGGTATTTTTGTTTTTCCCAGGCTCTCAGGATTCTTTCCTTGTCTTTGGTTTTCAAGTTTTATTGTGATATGTTGGGAGTGGATGAGGGTGGGTGCTAGCCACACCTCTGTTTAACAGGGAATTGTAGAGGGGGGAAGAAGAAATCTCACCTTTCCCGTCATCTGCTCAAATCTCTGTCAAGTCTCCCTTTACTGCCAAAACTGCCTATAAGATGGTTGAGCTTTCTTGTTTGGCTAGCTGTTCACCAGTCAGTCTCCCTCTTGCCATCCCTGCTCTATCTCTCCTCCCAGCTAGCACTCCATGGGTCTCTTTTACCTTTCTTCTGAAGTTCAGGTTGCCAGAATTTTCATCTGTGCCTGCTTTATTTAGTGTCTTTCATCTTTGTTGTAGGGAGTACTTGTCATGTATCTGCCTGGTCCCCCATCTTGCCAGAAGTCCCTAATTATTTTTTTAAGTCTCTCATGTATGTTTGTTTAAATGGATTTTGAGTTTATTTATGTTTTGGTTATGCTTTTAATATATTTTCTATCTTATCTTGAAAAAAAATACATCCTAGAGATTGTGTCATCTATGCCAAACATGATGATCATATGATCATATATATGTGTACATACATTATTGAATAGTTTCCTCTCTTTTGGAAATTTACATTGTTTACTATTTTTCAAAGGATTAAAAACCTATGTATATATTTTTATCACATCTCTGATTAGTTCTGTAGGAAGTATTTCTGTAATTGGAAATGCCTTACTAATGGATTAAACTTTTTAAATCTTGTCATTTGTATTTCTACGTTGTTTTCCAAAAAAGTTAAACCAGAGTGTACCCCCATGAATATTTAGGGGAGTGCTTATATTGTCACACTTTTCTATTCTTAAATATGAATGTATTTTAAAAATTGTCAACTTGTTGAATGAAAGATAACATATTTTGAAGTTAGATTATTAAAAATATGCTTTACTAGCCATTTGTTTATTGAAATATCTGTTTATGTTTTTGTCCATTTTTCTACGGGGGATTAATTGTAAGGATATTTAGAGTTTTTTTTTAAACAACCATATTAATGATAGATTCTTCTTTGTAATTGGTTCTGCCACGACTGCTTTACCTGTAGTGTTGTTGGTGCAATGTTGTTGTTGTTGTTAAGTGCCATCGAGTCGGGTCCAATAGTAGTATTTAAAAAGATGTGGCAGATAGATCTCTTAAGGCAAGTTTGCAAAGTATATGCCTTCTCTGCCCTATCCCCTCCATGTTGAAGACTGTACTCATATTTGAAATAAATTTTAGGGCTTTGTCTTTCTGCCCCATGTACAACTTTCTCCCCACCTCCAATGTACTTTTTGTGATTCTATGCTGAAGATTTGATGACTACTATTGTTCTGGAGTCGTGGTGTGGTGCTATAGGATAAGAACTGACCTGCTAAACGCACATGAGGGTGGCTCTTCAAACCCACCAGCTGCCCCTTGGAAAAGCTTATACAGGTCACTGTGAGTCAGGGCACTTAACAGCAGCAACCATTATTTCTATTTTATGTTTCGTAGGCATTCAAATACCATCTAGTCATAATACACTTTCTAAGAGGCTTTCCCTTATGACTTAATTGGTTCTATTCTGTATTTAAGTAACAGCAGGAAAACATTACACTCTTGTTGTTGTTAAGTACCGTGGAGTCGGTTCCTACTCATAGTGCCCCTGCACAGGGTTTCTGAGGCTGT